TTCGGATGCCTCCTTCTGCCCTGGTCCGCCAACTGCCCGCGCCCCGCTGCGCCCCGGGCGCCTCCACCTATTCCGCCGCCCCCGGGCCGCCTCCACATACGCCCCCCGCGCCCTGAGTTGCCTCCAGATTGCCCCCCTGTAACAATTACCCCGGGCCGCCTCCGCATACACCCCGGACCTCTTCCCCCCCACCCGCACCCTGAGCCGCCTCCGCATACACCCCGCTCCCCTTCCCTCCTCCATGCCCTGGGCTGATCCCAAATACCTCACCCCAACAGCTACCCCTGGACTGCCTCCAAATACCCCGCCTCCCACACACACACTGATCCCGTGCTGCCTTCAGCTCACCCCATGTCCTCTTTCCCCCTCTGTGCTAGGCCGCCTCCAGATACCCCCATCCCTTCCCCAGTAGTTCCACAGATCGCCTCCAGCTACCCCTTGTCCCTCCCCTCAGGCTGCCTCCAAGTACCTCGTTTCCTCCCACATGCTCCCCAGTCTTTTCCTGCCACCCTGTCAGTAACAGCCCATCCCCCCTCCCTGTCGTCATACCCCTGTCACCTCCCCCAGACCTTCCACCTACACGCTCCTCTTCTTACTCCCCTTTCTCTCATTATCGTGTGCAAGTATCCACACACCACTGCTTATCTGCCTCTGTACCTGCTGCTCCAATACCCCAAACCCCTGTGTCAGGCCTCTTCCCATCTCTAAAGCAGGATTGAATCCTAGACTGCAGTTCATCTGTTTCCCAGATGTAATCTTGCATTTCTCTGACATTGCTCAGTGGTGCTGTTCAGTGGTGATTATTTTGCAGGGTTGTTGGATGGGGGGTTGGCTTTTTTTTTTTTTTTTTTTGCGCTTTGGTGCAGCAGCGTACTTTTCATGTGCAGACCGGAAGGCTATGTGCGTTGCCTGTGGCAGTAGACATGCTAGATTATACAGGCTTTATTGCTCAGAGATAAAAATCTTACAGTAACTGTGATGTACATGTGTATTTTTGCATGTTGTATGAAGGTTCACAAGATATGAAGGGATTGTCTTTTAAAAATCATGGCGATTTTAAATTTCACATTTACTGCTGTAAAATTATTCCCAGACATATGGTATTCTGTGCTGTAGTATTTTACGTCGACACTAGGGGTGTCTCCTACTTATCGGCGGTGCCAAGAAATCAACGCCCTTTTTAATAAACATCTCTTTTATCCTAAATTATCCAACACCTGAGATTGTGGGATGATTTCTGTAAAAGTTTCAGTTTGTGTATTATATTTCTCAATTCCAAATCTGAGCTATTCATTTCTAGCTCTGCTTTATTTGCAAAACTAATTGTTTTACCACCATTGCCTGTTAAGTCTAGCACTGCATGTGAACCAAAAATGAATTTCCTTTTGTTTTACTATTTTTAAAAATGCAATTGCCAACTTTCCTTTATATAGTAAAGATATGGTCGAAAATGATGATGTGTGCTTAGGCTGATCTTGTAATTGTGCCTTTACTTTCTGTTAGAAATATTTTGCTAGGGAAGCATTTTGAAATATTTAGAGGCTTGCTTTGTTTTAAATTGTGGGTCTGGAAAGCTACTGTCAAACATTTGAAATACATAAGCAACACTAAAGCTATCAAATAGGTATCATTTTCACGTTCGGAAAAGGTGATGGTAAAATCAAGACAAACAAAACAAACTTTTAGTACTTGTAGGCATGTTACTTCAGCAGTGCTTGCAGTTGTTTTAGGTATATCTAATAAGGGAATGATCTGTAGCTTACTGTATCATTACTATCTGTGATTATAATTACACTAATGTAGTTAGCCCAGGTTAGAAGAATGTTCTTGAAGATTTCTTGGATGCTTATTAACATGCATAAACTGCAAGAAAGAGTTCATGAATGGTGAGATTTTAGTGCCTCTATGAAAGGTTTTTAGATGCGCCTAACTTTCACTGTCTTGCTAGTTCTATGTTAGGTTAGGTCTATGCTAGAAAATTTTGCCAGCATAGTACTTTTGGATAAGGATGTCTTTTTAAATGATATTTCTAGAACAGCAAAGCCTTATTATATACATAGTTATGCTGGTTATATTCTACCAGCAAAAGTGTTTACTGTGCTGGGCAAAAGCAGTAGGGGAGGGGAGAGAATAATCTGCATCTACGCTAGCAATCCTAGGAAACATTTACTGTCACAGACATCTGCCCTTCCCCACCTCTAATATCATTAACTCACAGGCATTCACCTTCCTTCCCTCCCCCCCCCCACCCCTCCTCCCCATTCTTTCACTCACAGACACTTACCTTCCTTTCCTCCTCCCCTTGCATCCCCCTTCTGTTCTGAAATGTGATTTGTCCTTTTCATATGTGTTCATTTTTTTAATTGTATCCTTTGGTATATATGGCTGTGACTATTTTCTTCCACTATTTGATCTGAGGAGCTTTCGTGGGCCAGACCCCCTTCATCATCTAATAAACCATCTTGTTAGTCTTTAAAGTGCTACATAGTCCTGTATTTTGTTGTAGACCTGACATTTTAAATCTGAAATTTGGATAAAATTTAAGAATAGATTAATCTGAGAAATCATGATCAGCATAATTTAGTTGCCTTTAATTTTTAGGGAAAAATTTAATATACTTTGTGGTTATTTCAATTAGGGATGTGTGAGTGGTTAACTGGTAAGCATCGCCCTTTTTGGGTGAGCCTTACTGGGTATAGTTAACCAGGGGCGGGTGGATCTGGAATAGCGCCCTCCCCCACCTGACGTGAGCAGGGGCCTGCTGCACTTCAGGGGGGCCCACTGAGGGCCTCCCCCATTTGCATCCCTAATTTGGATGCTTTCACTGCAAGACAGTGAAGTCTTAATTTATGCAAACTAAGCTTGTGTCTTATTTTTCAGCTTTAATTTTTATTTTTTATACTAGGATGATGGTGTTTGGAGTTTGAAGTAACATTTCTGTTATGCTCTTGCAGAGTGAAAGCACTGGCAAATACACTGACCTCAGCTTTTTCCACTATATTGTAGTGTGCATCATAGGTAGCTTTTTTCTAAAATTTCGTAGATAGTAAGTCAGAAGGGACTGGTCTGCTCTGATCATTTAGTCTGGTCTCCTGCATAACATAGGCCAGTGGTTCCCAATTTTTTTGATACTGGGGACCAGTAAACCCCATTCACAAGCTTTTGGAGGGGCGGTAACATTTATTTGCATATTCATTAAGCAAATGAATATGCAAATAAATTGTGCTTGCCCTACCTGTCCGGCTGGTTGTTCCGAACCCCCCCCCCATTCCCAGCCGCTTTATCGGCCGGCTCCCCTGGCTGACGCCGGCACCGGGCAATCTGCGTTGGTGTGCCTGGCCTTCTCCCTGGGTTCTAGTGCCTGCTAGATCTATCCCCGCCGCCCGGGAGCATGCCCAGTAGAGATGCCGCAGTGGCAGGCTCTCTCCCAAGAGGGCTGTGCCGCCATGGTCGGCTGTGTGGGGTGCTGCTACCCTGTCACACAAATGAATAGGATCGTGCGCGATAATTTTTCT